TCCTTGCAGGGCTGGGGCAGGCCTGCTAGACTTTTCAAAGTTGATTTTGGTGAAAGGCAGGATTCAGTGCCTGAGGTAGTGAGGGACGGATGGACTTACGGATGGACTTTCTCTCTCCCCACATTCAGGACTGCCTATTAAAGCTGACAGCTTGTCCAGGTCCTAACCGGGCACTGCAGGAGCACAGGTGAATCAGTAGCTGTCTTAGTTACCTGTTGTTGCTGTAACAAACACCACAAGGGGGTGGCTTTAATGAACAGAACTTTATTTTCTCACAGTTTAAGAGGCTGGAAGTCTGAATCCAGGGTGCTGGCTCTAGGGGAAGGCTTTCTCTCTTTCAGCTTCTCTTCTTGGTTCCATAGTGGTCATCGTGGTGTGGTATCTGTCTCCCCTGCCTGTGCTTCTTCTGCTCTTGTAGGTCTGAAAAGAGATTAATTTAAGACATACCTGCACTAATCCTTACTCATTAACGTAACAGAGAAAGCCCGTTCCAGATGGGATTGTAACTATAGGTCTGGAGGTTAGGATTTACAACACACGTTCTGGGGGGACACAATTCAATCCCTAAGAATATGCTATGTCCCCAGTAGAGGTCTAACTCATTTCAAGCACTTGATGAGTGTTTGTTGAATTGATGGATGGGTGAGTGAATGACCAGGTAGATGGTTTCTACTTCAAGCAGCTTACAGAGAAGCCAAGAGGTCTGAAAGGCACATGGACAATTTGAGGACAAAGTATTAAAGAATATGACGCAGAGAAATATCTGCAAGAGGCCAGAAGCGGGGATGGACAGGCAGAGGTGGCTTTGAGAATGGCAGGATTGTATTATGTCTTAAATGATGGAGGGCAGGGGGTCTTTGGGGATTTAGGCCTGGATGGAAAAGCATCCCAGGCAGAGGAATGTGGAAGAATACACAGTAAGTTATGAGCGTGGCTTGCCTCGCAGGCCTTGCCATTTGCTGATGTACATGGAAGGTGATCTTAGGATGGTTGGGGGAACCAAATGGAAACAGTAATGTAATAGGAAAATATGCAATAATTTTTTAAAAAGAAATCACGGTGCAAGAGAGTATTGATTCCTGACATTTTTGTGTTTATTTTCTGCCTTCTAACTCTGTTGATAAAATTCCAGTAATGCCACTGCAGTACCTTTTGGCCTTTTACATGCTGCTTCCTGAGACACATGGGAGTTTGCTGGAATATTCTCTTTATGTTGATAAGGGTTCTAAGATCCAGAGAGCTTGTAGGACTTACCAAAGCTCACAGGGTAGGGTGGATATTCTCCTGGACCTGCGCCCAAAGTCATCTGACAATCAGCTCGGAGTCTTCTTACTCCTTGACCCTCCCACTGTCGCAGTGTACTGGTGACAGGTCACTTGGCATGCTTAATCTTAGTTTCATATACTGTTTTTTTCTATACTTTTCTTATTTCTCAACTTCCTCTCTGCCCCAACCTTTGCATACATACTAGTTGGATTTTTCTAACAATCCCAAGCAACTAGTAAGTACTTTAGAAACTAGCCACACCATATTATTCCAAAGAAACAGGACATGCCACTAGTAATGTGCAGAGAATTTGGTGAAAGGCCTACTGACAGAGTGAGGATGGGGTAAGGGGATGCTGTGGCTCCCAGAGACCAGTGACAGCAGGAAGCTGTAGCAATCCATGGTCCTGCAGGGACAAGGGAAGGAAGAGACATTACTGAGCCTGGTGAGGGCTAGGGCCAGGGAAGAAGGGTCACCCTACAGGAACTGAAGTCATAGAGGCACCCAGACAAGGTCAGAGTGCTGAGGGAGGGTGAGAGTCAGGGAATGAATCCTCTAGTCTCTTTTTTTCACCGTCTGAGCTCATGCTGTCTCCTCCCTTTGGCATTTCCTAGTGATGCTGCTCTGCAGAGATCACCCTTCTTGGGGTGCAGAGCAGGGCAGGGAATAGACGTGGCAGTTGACAGAGAAGAACACATGCATTCACACGTCCTGATGCCTTTGCTCATCCATTATCTTCTGGTTAGGCTCTTTCATTCTCTTAATGAGAGACTTGTGTTGTGGGCCGTCTCTTTAGTGAGAATGGCTCAAGCCCTTGTCCTCACACTGCCCATGAACTAGGCTCGTATTCAGAACTAAGCACTGAGTATGGAGACTTTGGGTGGTGCAAACAGTTAATGCACTTGGCAGCTAACTAGAAGCTTGCAGGTTCAAGTCCACCCAGAGGTACCTCGGAAGAAAGGCTTGGGGGGGTGTGCTTCTGAAAAACCCGCCACTGAAGGCCCTGTGGAGCCCAGTTCCACCCTGACACATCCGTCGCCATGGGTCGGAGTCAACCCAACTGGTTACTGCAGGTATGAGTTCCTGTAGGGCAGGGCTCATGGCCAGGTCATCTTTCAACCTCACAGCCTAGGGCACTGCTTGCAGTGAATGAATGAACAGTGACTATCAGTTGAATGAGGAGCTCTGGTAGCCTCGTGCCTAAGGCACTTGACTGCTAACCAGAAGGCTGGCAGTTCAAATCTACCAGCCACTCCTCGGAAGGAAGGTTGGGCAAACTACTTCTGTAGTGATACTGCCTCAGCAACCCAAGGAGGGGTCGCTATGAGTCGGGTCCAACTCAATGGCATGTAACAACAACAACATCAGTTGAATGAATGTTGAACTTAGGCATTCATTCAAGCAGCAGTAACCCTGCAGGACGACTAATCATCTTGGAAGCATCACATTTCTAAAGACCGAGATTCACAGCTTTCCCACTGAAATGATGGTCAGAGGACAGATTGGTTATTGATGGCATTTAAAAATAAACCCTCATAAAGCGATGGTGTCCCTAGCAGTATCAGATGCTACCTGAGGTTGATTTGGATCTCATTGGATCTTCCTAACAACCTTATGAGATTATTTCCTTCTGTCACGCAGGTGAACGCCTCCCAGACATGTTAAGTGGCTCAGGCAGGGTCACTGCCATCTCAGCCTTGATCTTGGCTGCAGTTCAGTGACGCTAATACAGGTGCACAGTCCATGACCCAAAACTGGAGGGCACTTAAGATCAGATTGGTTTGGGATTTTTGTTGTTAATTGCCATCGCGTCATCTCTGGCTCCAGGCAACCCTATAAATAAGCAAAACGAACGGTACCTGGTCCTGTGTCATCTCCATGTTTGCGTCCATTGTCACAGCTGTTGTGTCAATCCCTCTCATTGAGGGTTCCCCTCGTTTTCAGTGACCCTCTACTTTTCCAGCCATAGTGTTCTTTCCTGACGATGGAGTGTCCAAAGTGAGCCCAAGTCCCACCATCCTCACTTCCAAGGAACATTCTGATTGTCTTTCTTCTAAGACTGATTTGTTTATTCTTCTGGCAGTCCACAGTAGACATTCACAGTGACATGTGGGGCAGCACCTCTAATCAAACTCATTAGCATGTATGCAACGAAATGTGTACATGGTGCCAGGCAATGGGGCAGCTATAGACTGCATAGCCTTGTGTTAGTACAAGTCAGGTTTCCAGTTGAGTTAGGATAAACACTTGTTGCTTTCCACGGCTGAGGATTGGGAATTGTGGATAAAAAGGCATGGCTCTGCCTCCATTTTCTTCCAGGGCGAAGAGAATCTCTGCCTGAATTTCTGTCCTTCTCCTTTTCTCCTCTCCCATCAAAGTCCAGAATGAGAAGTGGATGAGAATAGCAACAACCACAATAGCTCATGGGTGCTGAGTGCTGAGCCAGGCTCCATGCTACGCTCTTGGACACATGCTCCCGCTTAGGAAACACAGCACCTGTGAGGTGGCCATGCTCATGATTACCTGCCACTGCAAAAGCACAGCCCCCAAGCCTTTCTTCTGAGGTCCCTCTGGGTGGACTTGAACTTGCAAGCTTTTGGTTAGCAGCCAAGCGCATTAACCGTTTGCACCACCCAAAGTCTCCACACTCAGTGCTAAGTTCTGAATACAAGCCTAGTTCATGGGCAGTGGGAGGACTAGGGCTTGAGCCATTCTCACTAAAGAGATGGTCCACAACACAAGTCTCTCATTAAGAGAATGAAAGAGCCTAACCAGAAGATAGTGGATGAGCAAAGGCATCAGGACGTGTGAATGCATGTGTTCTTCTCTGTCGACTGCCACGTCTATTCCCTGCCCTGCTCTGCACCCCAAGAAGGGTGATCTCTGCAGGTAATCCAAGGGTCTGACACCCAAGTCCCCACCGTTAGCTACTGTGCTTAAGGCGAGGGTCTCGTCTCAGTGATTTCTGCTCCCCTCTCCTAGAAAGCCAGGAACCACCCACCCCGTGGAGTCGACCCATGGCGGCCCCAAGCGTTAGAGCAGAACTGCTCCCTGAGGTTTTCCTGGCTTTTTCTCTTCAAGGAGGCAGACCCTCAAGCCCGTCTTCCCTGGTCCCGCCGGGTGGGCTCAGACCACCAACCTTTAGGTTCGTTGTTACCGTTGGCTGCCGTTGAGTCGGTTCTGACTCATGGCAACCCTGTGTACAGCAGAACCAAATGTTGTCCACTTCTGTGGCATCCCCACAGTAGTGGGGATGTTAGGTTAGTAGTCCAGCACAAACCGTGCCACCCAATACCACCAGAAAAGAGAATTGCAGAATATAGGTACTTAGTAAGTTTGAGGTGAATTAATTTACTGGTGACTTGGAATCCAGATCGAAACCTGTGTACATGGCCAGATCTAGAGTCTTCTCTGGTTGTGGCATAGTGGGGTTTGGAAAACTTGATAGGATTTGAAATAATGGTCACACATGTGGGAGAGAGGTCATAGTGGAGCCGTGGTCCAGGGTGAGGCATGGCCCACTGGGAAAGGTATGTGATCGCCATTGGTTGTGGACTATGAAGAGGACCATGTGGACTATGAAGTGGTCTCAGAGTGGCCTGTGGAGTGCAGTGGAGGGAATGGCATTATGGGAAGACTGCAGCCAGGACAGTGGGCGGAGCATATATCTTTCTGTCTTCTGACCTGGTCCTTCCTGGCATTGACCTCTCCCCCTTATTTTTCTCTCTTTTCAGGGGGACCGAGGTGCACCTGGGATCCCTGGCTCACCTGGCAACCGTGGCGACCCGGGCCTTGGGGCTCCCGGCCCTCCTGTAAGTCCATGCTGTCAGGCCATGCAGGAAGGTCCCACCTCAGGGACACTGCTTTCCAGAGAAGTTGGTAGTGGGGTCACTGGTCCTGGGACCAGTTGAGTGGCAGGACTGTTGACTTTGCTGACATTTAGTGCTGAAACTTGGGATCCTTCTTATGGGAACTAGGCTTCTGGGGAGACCAAGACTCATATGTCTGATTCAAAGAGAAGTAAGAGAGTAAAACTCATTAAAATGTAAAATAAAAGAGAAAGAGACTTGATCAAACTTTGCAGAAACTGAGTGATAACCAGTGACACTGGGCTGGCTGGAGAAGGGGTGTCATATGGGAGAAACAGTGTGCTTTCATGCATTTTAGCCCCCCTCCCAAGTTCATTACCTCTCTTCCTCCAGTTAGTATTGGTAAGCACATGAATGGAACTGAGCAAGGTTAGTCTCCAAGATAATGTCGTTAGTGAAGTAGTCCTGAAGTTGTTAGTTTTAATGCATAATCCACACCAGTCTATTAGGTGCAAGTTTGCACATTCCTTAGAGGTGGTAATTTGAAGAATCCTAAAACATCTGAGCTGTTGGGGATCACAAGGATCAGTGAAGCCCAGGCCTGCATCCGAGCTGAAGGCTGCTATCCGCATCCTCACCAGGCCTCCACCTGAATGTCTCAGAAATGGGGGACACACTTGTTTCAAAGCCAGTGAGCTTTGAAATTTAGAGTTTATTTCAAAAGAGAGTAGAAGTGGGTTAGAAATTCTTTTCATACAGAATAGGATGATGACCTTCCATACCTTTCACTCATTGCTTCAAATTTTTCCCTTTACACCACAGACAACACATCTTTTTAAAATTTTCTTCCCATTCCTGAATGATGGCCTTCGGCATTGGACGCCAGTCTTTAATCAGAGGTCTTATTTTCATCCATCTTGCTTTTCTTTGCTAAAGCTACCATATCTTATTACACCATCTTAAAGTTTAATTTGATTTTTTCCTGACAGCCATATCTTGTTGTTGTTGCTGTTAGTTGCCATCAAGTCAGCTCCTACTCACAGCAACCCTGTGCACAACAGAACAAAACACTGCCTGGTCCTGCACCAGCCTCACAATCTTTGGTATACCTGAGCCCATTGTCGCAGCCACCATGTCAATCCATCTCATTGAGGGCCTTCCCCTTTTTCACAACCCTTCATTTTACCAAGCATGATACCCTTCTCCAAGGACTGGTCCCTTCTGACAACATGACCAAAGTAGGTGAGATGAAGTCTGGCCATTCTCGCTTCCAGGGACCATTCCAGTTACACTTCTTCGGGGACAGATTTGTTAGTTCTTCTGGCAGTCCACAGTACTTTCAGTATCCTTTGCCAACATCACAACTCAAAAGCATCAACTCTTCTTCAGGCTTCGTTACTCATTATCCAGCTTTCATATGCATATGAGGTGATTGAAAACACCATGGCTTGGGTTAGGCACGCGTTAGTTTCAAAGAGACGTCTTTGCTCTTCAGCACTTTGAAGAGGTCTTTGGCAGCAGTTTTGCCCAGTGCAATAGATCGTCTGATTTCTTGACTGCTTCTTCCATTGGTATTGATTGTGGAACCAAGTCATATGAAATCTTTGCTGTCAGTCTTCAAGCCATATCTTACTATTGTTTAAAAGAAGCTCCGATGCCCGGTACTTTTTAAATGCCAAACAGTTGACCGGCTCAGCTGCTCACGGAAGGCTGGGGGTTTAAGTCCACCCACATGCAGCTTGGAAGACAAGTGTGGTGATCTACTTCCAGAAAATGAGCCGCTGAAAACCCTGTACAGCACGGTGCCGCTTGGAAATGTATGGGGTTGCCACGCACTAGAACTAACTTGACAGAGGCTTGCTTCTTAAGCCTTATCATGTCCAAACCACCCATGTATTATTATCGTTGTTAGCATCATCAATATTTTAACTCAGAAGCACAGTCTAACTTTGTCCCCATTGCACGTAATCTGAATATAAACCAGGGTACTGCACAGCTCAGTCTCTGATTGCCTTTGTATTCAGGAACAATAGACCACACCAAAAAGTATTAAAGCAATTCCATTCTTCACATGTGTCTCTCAGAGAATCGAGCAGAAAAACCAGTTGATAACCCACAGGAGCACTGCTAAAATAAGCGTCCCTCTCCTCCCTCTGCGGCTCTCTTCGACCCAGAGTTGTTCTCTGGTATCTCAGTCTCTCTTCCTGGAGCTCTCTACCTGCTCTCTTCTCTGTCCCCACACCCAAGCATGCCTCACTGCCTAAACCATCAGAAATGACCACGTCTCGTCCGCTCCTGCCCACATGGGCTCTCTCCATGGTGGAAGGAGGCCAACATTGCTCTGTAGCTTCCTAGTTGTCCCTGGATACCATGGCAGGAGGCGCATGGAATCATCTTGGGAGTGTCTAGTTTTGGTGTGTTTTTCTTATGAGAAATTCTCAGCTAGAATTGCTGAAGAATGAAACTCTCCAGTTCATTATGTCATTTTACCTTTTGGCCTTGGCTGTTTTTTTGTCTGTGGTTGCATAGTATGACATAATATGCAATAAAGGAACTCAGAAGTTCAGAGTTTCTTATTTCTGCAATCTTCCTCTTAATAGTCCCCAATCTGTGGGAGTCAGGTCCTGAATCCCCCAGGAATCACCCCTTAGCCTAGAGAACTGGCCATAAACGAAACTGCAGAAGCTTCGTCTGGCTGAGGTACCCTCCTTCACTGAACATGGCAACATCCTTTAAGCGTTCCGGTCAACTCCCCAAGGATTTACTGGATCAAGTCCTTGATCAGAATGCCAGGCAGCAGAGGTGGCCCCAGTTCACCCCACCTCCCCCTTAAGAGCCAGCTGAAATCCCTGTGAAATATGGTCCTGCCTAAGGGATTCCACCTGAAAAGTAATTGGCTGGCTTCAGCCACGAGGCTGCAAATCTAATCTTGAGTGTCTTTCCACCACTCTGACTTATTAAAAGCTTCTGTGGTGGATATAACCTTATTGAATTTTCATAAATCCTGTCCTTGGCCACCAGCCCAGGATGCTGATGGCCTGGGAATCTGTATGGCGGGTTTGGAAATATGCCGAGAGTGGGCATGTGGAAGAGAAGAAGAGGGCAGCTGGAGTGGCGGATGGGGGTCAAGTTCATTAGATAAGTGATTGCTGCTTCACAGGGCCATGGTCATTTGCTGAGTGGGTCTGTGGTCCTGTGCACATTGGCTTCCTCTACCTCATTGGTCCTTTGAAAGTTAGTTTATCCCTTGGCTAAGGTGGAGGCAGCCTTCCCTTCACACACACACACACACACACACGCACACACACACACATGCCACCATCACCCCCAGCCCCACAGAAACAACGCCTGAGGGTAAGGAGTTGATTTGAAGGTGATGGCAGAAGAGGGCACTTTGGGAGGAGCAGAATGAGACTGGGAAAGAAGTAAGCAGGGGAGGGTGGGTTGATAAGCAGGTTACCCCTGTGGGCAGCTGGGACTCATTCTCCATGGAGGACCTTCAGGAGACTGTGTAGGCTCTGCCAAAGGAGTGATGAGCTAGGTATTTCGACACTAGCTCCTGTCCATCACTGGTTCAAGGCTGCACTCTGGGGCATCAGCTCCCAGACGCTCTTGGCCTGCCCCACAAAGCCAGCTCTTCTGCATCATTGGCTTGCAGTGTCCATGGGGTGGCAGGATTTAGGCATTCCATGGACCTCTCAGAGATCGCGCGTTGTGGCTGGATGGGTTATTCTCCACTTCCTTCCTCCTGTGGCCTACTCTCCCAGGCCTTTGCTATTGGAGCAACTCTGACTCCCTGGGAGGAGCCCCCTGTTTTCTCTGTACCTTTGGTGGGGAGAGGCTGTTGTTTGGGGTTTTGGCTTCCCTCTGCAAGACCAATTAGGACACAGCCAGCACTACAAACTGCTGCTATTGTATGTAGTTCTATCCCTCTGCAAGATTTTAGCAAGCAAACAAAACGCCCCTTTAGTCTTCAGGCCCCTAATTTCCCTCTAGCAACTTCTAATGTGCTTAAAAGTGACCCCACCCAGGCTCTGGGGCATATCAGGGTGCTGATGAGCCTGCCTGGGAGCTTGAGTGATCTTGGGGTTTGGGTGACCCAGGATGGGTGACATCCATCTCGGACCATCAATTTCCTCCTGGGTCAAGAATTTTGGCAGCATGCTTAGGGTATTGGCAGATTGTGACCTGAGAATGTTCATGATAACTCTGGTACCCTACTCTGCCCCACTGTTGCCATAGCAATCCTCTTCCTGGGACATCTTTCTTGGCTTCCCCACTTGGAAAGCCTTCTCCCTTTCCTGAGCACCAGCACTCCCTCTCTGGAATCACTTGTACTGTTGCCTTACTCTGGTCACTGAAGGGATTCTTTTGTTGATGAGAAAAACAGTTCTTAAATTAGTTTCTACTGTCACTTTTGATTGGGAACTATTCTTTCTGGGTTCAATCAGCCTGGAATTTACTAATTTAATAGCTTGGCACATTCTTCTGTCCCCTGTATTTCTTATAAATTGGTAATTGGACCTAGAGGCTTAATCGGATTCAGGTTTGATGTTCTTGGCAAGACTTCATAGGTGGCGTGTTGTTCCATCAAGAGACATTTGATGTCTGGTTGTCTCTCTGTGGTGGTAGCACCCTTTGAAGTCTGATGCTTGGACCAATTAGTATATCACGCACTACAAACTGGTGCTATTGCAGATCTATCACTCCTTTTGTAAAATGTAGTTATCAGCTGGAATACATCTATATAGAGAAACATCCTTATTTATTGTTTGGATACCTTGTGGCGTGATTCATATGGAAGATAGAATATGAGAGCTTAAGTCTTTCCCTTTGTTTTCAAGTAAAGATGTGGCTGCTAATGTTGCAAAGGTGACCAATTTATTCTTCCCTTGTTTTTAAGAATAATTTTGAACTCATGGATTTAAGTAAATTTTATGCTTTAATATTTTGTAGTTATCCTTCCTTCTGATGTTCAAGTTGTCCCATCTTTGGATAATGGTAGCCTATTCAAGTAGGCTCCTAGTGTTTGTTTTAAACAGTGTTTTGTGTTTTTGGTGAAGGTTTACACAGCAGTTTAGTTTCCTATTCAACGACTTTTACAGGAGTAGTTCAGTGACCTTGGTCACATTCTTCACGGTGTGTGACGGTCTCATGATTTCTGCTCTGGTTACTCTGTTTCCATTCATCACGTTGGCTCCTGAGTGCTTTTAACACAAGCCTAGCAGCCACTGATAGTTCTCTTGCCCTCTGGAATGACAAGATGGTATAGCATGTGTGTTTCCTGCCCAGAACTTACACCGGTCGTTTCTCCAAGGTGCTATAGTGCAGTGGAAATTGGCATGTGAAGATCAAAATCTAGGTGCTAAGGTGACATGACTCTTAAATACACACTAGACTAAATCGTCTTGAAGAAGAGGCTGTAGCTGCTCAGGACAGACCCCCTCTTGACACACTTCCACATTTCTTCCAGCGTAACACTGGCAAGGTCGCTGTGGGAATGCCTCCATGAGCCAGATGCTGGCCTGGTTCTCAATAAAGTGCCTCCATGATCCCTCACAATGCAATGCAAGGTGATCCTCTGTCTTTAGATTGCCGCTGAGGACACTGAAGCTCAGAGGGACTACAGAACCGCTCACAGTCAAACAGCTGATAATTGCTGAAGCTAAAATTGAAATCAAGGCTTTGTCAAGGAGAACATACATGCTTTGATTTTCGAGTTTTCTTACCATGAAACCAAATATTCATGTTAGAGAAATCCCTGACCAAAATTAACCCACCAGTGGCTTTTCTTTCACCCAAAGTTGCAAATCATTACTTAACTGTTTGAAAGCAGGCTTCCTGCATTTGAATTTCAAATGATATGGCTGAGTGGAGGGCCAGAGACCATCTTGAGACCTGAAAGCAGTTGATCTCAGTAGGAGGAGGAGGGCAGCTCTCAGTCAATCATTTTATGATCACCCAGTGGTTCATCTTTTCTGTTTCTCCCTCCTCTTTTTTTATAACCCTCGCTGCACTAGATTCCTTGAGCCAACTGCTGTTCTGGAGTCAAAAGGGTCTCCCTATATGCACTTACAATTACTGCTCAAAATAGACCTTATGTTCACAGTTCATTGGGTTTTGATTATTTGTAACACCTTTAATGGGAGCTCTGGTAGCATAGTGCCTAAGGCACTTGACTGCTAACCAGAAGGCGGGTGGTTCAAACCCATCAGCCACTCCTCGGAAGGAAGAGGGTGCAATTTACTTCCGTAGAGATACAGCCTCAGAAACCCAAGGAGGGGTCGCTATGAGTTGGGTCCAACTTGATGGCACATAACAACAGCATAACAAAACACCTTTAATAACAAAATCTATCCTTCTCGTGTGGATTTTCTATTAAGTGGCATAATTAAGGAGTTCAGAGCCTAGCCTAGTGGCCAAGTTACATGACTGAGGTACAGCATGCTAGTTAATTTGGAACAAAGCATGTCTCTAAAATGACATGCTTGCGTTCCCCATATCAGTAATAAACTATCCCTTATACCTTTGCCTTTTGAGAAGTCCCCCTTTTGGAATAATTACAGAGCCTCAATGTGTTACTTTGAAAGGAACAAAATTCAGATGCACACCTGTCGATCCACATGTACATTGACTTAACCTGCCATTGGACAGAGCTACAGTGGAGGGAGCAATTGCTCTGAGTCAAAGTTCATTGCTGTACCTGGCTGACTTTGGATAAGTTGCTTTAATGGCTTTTAGTTTCAGTTTTCCCATGTGTAACAAGGAGAGGTGGAAATCCCGGGCTGTAGATTTCCAGTAGGGATTAGAATGGCATTCTTCGGTGTGAAGCAGATGACACCACTCCTGCACATAGACCAACAGCCATAAACATCTTTCCTTTCACACCTGCCAGTCCTCCTCCTTACGCTCAGGTTAGGTGACTGTTCCATTCATTCTTGGAAGGAAATCTCATTCAGAAAGAGGTGAAAGGAAACACAGGTGCTGCAATATCCTGGTGGTTTTTCAGGTCCTTTGGTTAAGAGGGAAAGAAGGACAACTCCAGAAACTGACTGTCACGGGGGCTCTTTGTCATCACCATCAGGGACCTGTGGATGATGTTTCTCTCCTTTGTCAGTCAGCAGCCTGAGGAGTCGTAGGCTCCTCACGAAATAATCTTCACCCTGCTAACCAGAAGGCTGGCAGTTCAAACCCACCAGCCACTCCTTGGAAGGAAGGTTGGACGATTTACTTCCATAGAGATACCGCCTCGGAAACCTAAGGAGGGGTTGCTATGAGTCGGGTCTGACTCAATGGTACATAACAACAACAACAACAACAACAACATGATCCTTAGATAACATTCTTCCTGGAAATTCCCATTTCAGAGTAGTTTCAAGCTCATTTAATTACTTACTGAAATTTCTGTATCAATGCCTTTATTGTTCATTTCTAAAAGTTCTTTCTGGCTCTTTTTAGTATCTGCTGGTAATGCTGTTTTTTTTTTTTTATGACATCATGCTATTTTTTTACAGTGTTTGATTCCTTCTTTTATATATTCAGTCATTTTGAACCCACTACCAAAAAAACCCTCTGCCATTGAGTCAATTCTGATTTTACAAGGCCCTGTAGGACAGAGTAGAATTGCCCCAGAGGGTTTTTAAGCCTGTCATCTTTATGGAAGCAAACTGCCCCATCTTTCTCCCATGGGATGGCTGGTGGATTCGAACTGTCTACCTTTTGGTTAGCAGTCAAATGCTTTAACCACTACACCACCAGAGATCCGTATCATTTTGAACAGATCTCCTTTTTTGCTGTATCTGGTAACCCTGCCCTCTGAAGTTCACAGGAAGTCTAGTTCTGCTGTTATGTCAACTGACACGCTGGTGTATAGCTTTGTAATTGGAGATTGTGAGTTCATGTCCTTGGGGGTGTATCTGTGAGAATTCTGTAGCCACACTGTGAGGTGCATTTGCTTTTGCTGGTGACCCAGGGATCTCTTTATGTATAAATGTCTTGGTTTTGAGCTAAAACTATGCTCATATTTAACTATGTTTATATTTAACAGCCCCAATAGCTATGTGAGGGCAGGGTCTAGAGAATGAATTCTCAAAGAAGTTTTCATTATGAACCTGTATTGGAGTTCTGGTGGTGCAGTGCCAAAGGCATTTGACTGCTAACGGGAAGATTGGTGGTTCAGACCCACCAGCCACTCCACAGAAGAAAGACTGGGTTTGGGTTTTGGGTTTATTGGAGCACCTCGGAAGAAAGGTCTGGCCACCTGCTTCTGAAGAACCAGCCATTGCAAACCATGTGGAGCACGGTTCTACTCAGACACACGGAGTTGCCATGGGCCAGAGTCACTTGACAGCAAATGTTTTATTTATTTATTTTTACCATAGGCAAAAAGGCAGTGAGTCTCCTTAAGGTCTTTCTTTCTCCATTCCTTCTTAAGGTTGTAACCAAGCATCGGCAAATGGCATCCTGGGGCCACATGTAGTCTCTGCCTGTTTCTGTACAGACTGCATCCTGGGGGCCCCTCAAGGCCTCATGCCTGTTTTTGTACAGCGCACATACTAATTTTTAAATGGTTGAAAAAAATCAAAGGAAGAATAATCTTTTATAACCTCTGAAAATTAAATGGCGTTTAAATCTCAATGTCGTAAGGAAAGGCTTGTTGGAACACACTGTGGCTGTTCACGGACACAGAGGGTGTGACCCTGGAGCTCGAAGATGGGAGCTTCTCTTGGCAGGCCAGCTCAAGCCTGGAGCGGACATACGCTACAGTGCGTCCCATTGTGAGGAGCAGGCCACTCCTCCATTGTGACTTGTCTGTTTGTTTCTCAGGGCCCTGCTGGACCACCGGGAGAGGCGGGACCACCGGTATAGTATGACTTAAAGAAAGGGCCGGGTCCTCGGGGAGGGCTTCTCTCTGGAGCAGTTTCACCTAGCAGGGACCAGATTGTGCATGTAGAACCTGCTGAGTTGGTGCATGTGTTGCTGTGTATATTGTCAACAACAAAATGCATGGAATTTAAAGAAAAAAAATATAATGGGAGGGGCCAAAAAATAAGGAGTTTCTGAAAGTTCCTGACATTAACCAGAGTGCACTCTTCAAAATGTAAGATTGATTTGTGGAGGATAGAGTAGGAAGTGGAGGTGGGGGTGTCTGTTTAACCCTCCTGTTTTAGAATTGGGCAAACAGAGCTTGGCATTGCTTTTTGGCATGGCTCCACCACAGAAGACAGTGCTTTAATGAACTTAATCAGACAATTGCCACAAGAAATTATCTTGATTCCTGACTTCTCCATTCCTAGCCACGTGGCCATGAGCAAATGAGGGGTTTCTCTGAACTGTAGGTGCCACGGTGATGCTCAGGGTCACTGTGGAGAAGGGATAGAGGAACCGTATGCTGAATAACGGGTGCTGTCAGTAGGTGGTGGTTCTGAAGAGGACCAGGGAGCATACGTGTACACATGCTTGGCAGGAGACTGTGCATTCTATAAACTGGAATTCCTGTGCTCTGCCCCCACTGGAGAAGGAGCTGTGGGTGCACAGCTGTCATGATGCCAGGCATCATGTCATGTGCACTGATTTCTAATTCTGCCCATTCATGTCATCACCGAACTCAGAACGACCTGGAGTTTTATACCCATTTTCACAGATGAGGAAATGCAGGCTCAGAGCAGTAAATTGATAGGTCCGGGAGGTCAGAGAAAGTTGTTGGTGAAGTTATTGAGCAGACTGCAGATAGAGCGGGTGGTGTGAAGGGGAGATGTGCTTCCCCTTGATCCAGAAGAGGCCACGTTGCCTAGTTCTGGCATGTGGCAGACCAGAGAGCAGAGCCCACCTGCAGATCTATGTCAGGAGACGGCTTTCAGGAATGAGCTCTGTAAAGAGACACCTGTGCCATTTCCTGCTGTCGTTTTCACTGGGAGGGGAATTGTTTTTGTATATAAATCTATCTATATCTATCTCTGTATCTATATCTATCTGTGTACACATATATAAAACCAACCCACTGCTATAGAGCTGATTCGGAATCAGTCAGTAACTGTTGGGTATGTGACACTGGGCACTGTGCCAGGTGTGTGTGTGGAGGAAGGGCTTGCACAAGTTGATGTATTTAGCATCTCCACAATCCCAGGGGCTGGTTATCCATAGGACATGGCCGGGGACTTGGATCTGAGCCCAGGCTCACCTCACTTCAGGGCATGTCCCTTTCCACTATGCACAGGGCCAGGCGTGAGCCCATGGTACGGGACAGCAGTGTTTTCCATGTGTGTTACCATGTCATTGTGCACAGGTATGCACAGATGCAGTGAGATGAGTGAGCCCCGAGCAGGAGCCTGCAGTGGGAGATGGCAGTGTGTTCTCTGTGCATATTAGCATGTCAGTGTACACAGGCATGCTTAGGCACATGAGATGAGTGAGCCCAGAGCAGGGGCTCATGGGGCAAGACAGCACTGCATTCTCTGTGTGCAATGACACATCAGCATGCACAGGTGCAGGGAGGTGAGTGAGCCCAGAGCAAGGTGTGCTTTGACATTGTCACATTCAATTGCTCATAGAAACAGGGCATGTCCGTGATAACAGCCGTGAAGTCCACCAGGTTTGCTTGAAACTCTGTGTGTTCTGTTCTTCTTCACCAGGGATCTCGAGGCTTACCTGGATTCCCAGGGCCCCGGGGACCAGCTGGCCAGGACGTAAGTAAAGAAGATCTACACTGGTTCAGTCGGGATACTGTGCTTGCCCTGGGGGCCCACTCCTGCAATGGGACTGACCAGCCCCAGGTCCCCTTGAACGTGCAGCTGGCTCCATAGCTCAGCCTAGAGCTCTCCGGAAACCCCAGGCTGTGCTGCTGGGCTCCATCCCCACCCTTCCTGACCAACATTTATTGTTCATTTATCTATTTAGCTGGCTAGCTGTTCTCTTACTGTGGCCTCTAATTTGATCACATCCAGTTTTATTTCTTCAGCTTTTGTGTTATGTTTCAGAGCCTTGTAAGCACCTGGGTATCCCATACGATCTCTCCCACTTTATGTCAGCGTTATATATCTAGCCAGCCAGGTACTGCGTTCTCTGTGGTCGTGTTCCTGACCCTTCCCTGGAAGTATGCAGACTCCCCATAGGGGAGGCATATTTCCTACTTTGCAGTCCCCATTGTCTGGCTCTTGCTCAGGTAGAGCTGAGCTCCCAGAGGTAAAGACCATGTCATATGCACCTGTGGGCCAGTGTTGCCTAGCAGCAACCCAGTGGGCCAGTGTTGCCTAGCAGCAACCCAGGTGCATAGAAGGACTCAGTACATACTTATTGTTCAAAGGGATGATTGACAACTCTGAGTTCTCACAGGACAAAGATGTCTGGCACCAGTACCAGTGGTATTAATTGCTTAGACACATCTTCCACATCTAGAGTTTTAGTTCCTTGTGAGCAGGAAGGATAATCCCCTTCCCCTTCCTTTCCTTGGATTTTTTTCAGAGAACAGGATTCTCTCTGTTCCCGTCTAGACATAGAGATTTACTACCCCGCTCTCAACATGACCTTCTTATGGCCCGTCCAACAGAAATACCTCCTCCTTTTCAAAGCCTGTCCTTCTGCTTGTGTTTGGAAAAAGATGGTGGATGTTGAGAACAGATGTGTATGAATGTGTGTGTGAGTGTAATGTGTGTGTGAGCATGAATGTGTGTACGACTGTGAGAGTATATATAACTGACAGAATGTGTGTATGTGTGTGAGTATGTGTGTGTGCACGTGCAATCTGTAGGAGTTATTTTGGGTTTTGTGGTTTGGATAGGGGTCACTGGAGGCAGAGCTGACAGTTGTGAACAGTCATGTGTGACTGCATGAGTGTGTATGTGTCCATGTGCACATGCCCTGGGTGCAGGACTTGGTTTTTTGGATAGGGGTCACTGGAGGCAGAGCTGACTGTTGTAAACAGGTGTGTGTGAGTGTATGTGCAGGAGTGTGTGTGTGCACACACTTTGTGTACAGGGTTTGGTTTGTGTTTGTGTTTTGGATAGGGGTCACTGGAGGCAGAGCTGACAGTTGTAAACAGGCACATGTGAGTGTGTGTGTGTGAGAGTATGTGAGTGTGTGTATGTATGTGTTCAGACATTGTGTGCAGGACTTGGTTTGTGTTTTGGATGGAGGTCACTGGAGGCAGAGCTGATAGTTGTAAACAGGCATGTGTAAGCGTGAGTGTGTGTGTGTGAGTGAGAGTGTACATGAATGTGTGCATGTACATGTTCAGACATTGTGTGCAGGACTTGGTTTGGGTTTTGTGGTTTGGATAGGGGTTACTGGAGGCAGAGCTGACAGTTGTGAACAGTCATGTGTGATTACATGAGTGTGTATGTGTCCATGTGCACATGTCCTGGGTACAGGACTTGGTTTGGGTTTTGGACAGGGGTCACTGGAGGCAGAGCTGACTGTTGTAAACTTTTACCACCACTGAATATTTCCTGGGAACCCTGGTATTCAGCTGAGAGTAGAAACCATGAATTTTTATTGGTGCCCATCTTCATGGCTGGGTGATTTTTCATTGGATTACATCTGAAAGATAGAGAGGTTGGGTAGAGTGAGTCAGCACCATGTGCTGAGCGAAGTTAATGCTCTTTTTCTTTCTTTTTCTCCTTAGGGCGTGCCAGGAAATCCAGGAGAAAGGGGGCCTCCTGGCAAACCAGTACGTCATCTTACTTTTCTGGATGAATACTGAGAATCAGTCAGGGCTATGGCAAGAAATAAAATGCAACTCAGATGGTTCAGGAGCCATTATAAAAGAGTTTTGTGCAGGGGTGTGGGCAGAGGGAACTAATTTGGAAGGCTGAGATGCCCAGATATGAACTAATGGGCAGTCCATACTACCATGGGCCTAAAGAAACAAGGGGAGGAAATGGTATTTTCAGACCCCAGAAAAAGTGAAAATGATGGAAAAGGAACTGCCAGGGAGGAGTCAGTTGTGAGTTCCAGGCCACCACCAAAAATCTTGAGCTGGGACAGGAAGGGAACAGTGAAGAAATCCCCCAGGCTCAGAGTCTCCCCCACTGAAGTGCCTGTCATTGGTCCAACTGAGCCCCACGCCAGTGGGCATGTGAGTTGGTGATGCCTTCCAAGGTCCTGGGATGTGGACAATGTGCAGCTGAGGGTTGAGTAAAAGGAGAATGGCAGCACATGCTATAGATCCCATCCTACATGTCCTACTCCATTGCCTAGAGATGTCAGCACCTCCCAACTGCCCACTTTGAACACTGGCAGAAGCCTTCCTACCTCTCACAGTAAGCACAGTGGATGCTGAGAAATACTGAACCAGGGATGCACTGCCCTGAGTGCTTGGTCCTGGGCAATTGGCCCCAGTCTGGCCCCAGGTCCCTGTAGGCACCCACATTCATTATCAAGGAAACTGAGTGGGTGGCCAATTCCAGGGAAGCCCAAAAGTTACAGCTGAGTAACCAGGCCTTGGCAGGATCCTCTGGGGAAGGACCAGTGATGATGACCAAGTCTGTTTTTACCTGTGTGGGTGAGTGGGAAGGCAGGCTGTGCAGATACAGAAGACACGGATGGGTTCATGTGAAGATGTTCCTAAGATGGGAGAAACAGTGGCAATCAAGATGGGAATCACAGACCCCAAGAGTGAGCTTCTGGTTTCAGAAACCAGTATGCTTACCTGAGCAGAGGCTGCACCTCAAGATGGATATGACAGACTGCCAGTCTCCTTTGCAAGTGTGACCTGTGACCAGCTTAGACAAGGTCCTCAGGCACATAGACTCTGTGGGCACGGAAACACCCTACCCATGTTACTGGGCACTATAAAGACCTGAGCATGTTGTTGTTGTTGTTGTTGTTATGTGCCGTTGAGTCAGCCCTGACTCATAGCGACCCCTCCTTGAGTTTCCGAGGCAGTATCACTACGGAAGTAGGATTGCCCAACCTTCCTTCCGAGGAGTGGCTGGTGGGTTTGAACCGCCAGCCTTCTGGTTAGCAGTCAAGTGCCTTAGCCACTATGCTACCAGAGCTCCGAACCTGGCATGTCTAGATGGGACCTGAAACTCTTCACTGAAGACTTGCCAGTGAGATCAGTGGAAAATTTTGTTGGTGGTCAGGGACAACTTGACCACTTGCTTATACAGCAGCCAAAAGAGCTGAGAGAGAGGAGGGAAAAGACTATTTTAGACTACCTTTAAATTCACTCGATACCCTCACACATTGTCCCAAATATGACCCAGTGTCTATGATGGTCTTTCTAGTCTCAGCAATCAGATAGTCTTTGTGTTTAGGATGCCCAAGACCACTCTCAGGTCCCATGATTCACTAGAAGAACTCACAGAACTAGGAAAAGATGTTCTGCTCATGGTTCCAGTTTATTACAATGAAAGGCTACAGACAGATCAAAGGGAAGATGCACAGGATGGAGTCCAAGAAAGGCCAGGAACAGGCTTCCAATTATCCTCCCTCGGTGGGATTTTACAGACAGCGTACAGTTATCCCACTAGTGATGTGTGACAACACACATGAAGTACTGCCAGCCAGTGTTGCTTACCTGAGCTTTGGTGTTCAGGCTGTTGGGGGCTCTGTCATGTAGGCACAGAGCACGGCATGGATAACTTCAGTTACTGTATCTCCAGCCCCACCAGAGGTCAGACTGATTCCCGGTGCCCACCCTAAATCACATTCTTATCATAACTATCTGCCCTGGCCCAAGCCCCTAATTAAACAGATACTCTTATGGGGCAGGATATTCCAAGGGTTTAGAGGTTACTTCCCCGAATCTGGGAAAGGGCCAGCCCTTTTTTGGAGTATGCAGGGTTTGAACAATGCAGGCCTGCTGAATTCATCCTTTAATGCACTGTTATTGCTCAGTGAGCAATGTGAAGGGCAGGATGTGTTTCTCCCATGCATTCACCTGGACAGATAGAACCCCTCACCCAGGGACTCCCCCACATCTCAGATTAGGTTCTCTGGAAACACAGCCTGCAGTGGGGATTCGTGTGCATGTGCCAGCTACTCTCAGGTGAAACCTGCAAGAAATTGGGGACCAGGGTATGGGAAGGGAAAAAGTGAGGCGATGATGTGGGCTCAGGTAAGTCTAGCCTGGGCCAGATCCCATGGGAAGCTCTAGGATATGAGTAGGGCAGGAGGGACAGCCCTTTCTCACATCCATATTGTCTGCCACTGGCCAGGGGTTTCCCCCAGGAGGATGGGACAGCCTTCCTCGAGTTTCCAACAGGTGAAGGGGATCTAGACAGGCAACAGACTGTATCTTCCAACTGTTGGTTTTCTTCACCCATTGGGCCTAATGCATGATCTGTAGGTGGCTTCTCCTGGGAGGAGCTGATCGTCTGCCATGCACCCCAAGTCTGCCTTCCTGAGGCCATTGCCTCCATATAGACTGTTCTTGTGTATCTTCTTAAGATCTGTAAGTATACAGAAATGGGTCAGAACAAGACACTAATTAAATTATCTTCAAGGCCACGCTGTGGCTAGGCTGAAAATCCACTCCCTGTTTGTCCTCCCTTTGTAAATAATGCCTTACTACACTAGCTACTAGAGCTCACTCTAATTATGCAAAGAGCTCAAAAAGCATTGTAAAAATGTTCCCAATAATGCAAAGCCAGCAGTATAAAAATGTCCCAATTTAAATAATATAAAACCCACATTATTAGCAACTTCCCAAAGAAAAATTAGGCTTCAAAATTAAAACCACTTCCCTTTTTGAAATTAATGTTTTAATCAATGAATATTACAAAGGTTGGTGGTTTCTTTGGAGGATAACAAGGGGGAGGGTCTTTGCCTTGTCTGCAGCAGCTGCAACCCAAGTGAATTCTCCCTGCAGAGCTAGTTCTTCAGCACCTCCTAATCGGAGGTCATCTAATCCCAGTCTCTTGCATGTACCCCCTCCTCAGGTGCAGTAGCCAGAAGGGTTGGTCGGATTCTTGAGACTACCAGCAGAGCAAGCAACACAAACACATGCCCACCTCTACAGTGGTGCTCCTGGGCAAATTGATGCTACCTCCACACCTGGCTTCTGCTAGCCCATAGGATGTGGCAGAAACCATTTCAGGAGTGGTCCAGACAAAAGGGGATAGACAGACATGTCTTGGTTTAAACCTCCCCAAGATGCCAGACTGGGCTTGTAATTCACAAGAAATTACCCACGACAAGTTTCATTGTGGCCACAGGCTTCCCATACTCTAGAGGGAAACCTAGCACCTTCCCCTCTGTGACCTCTGGTACTCTTTTTCTGTGGCAAAATTTCCACGTTTCCAAAATGGCACCCCAGTCTCCAATCCATGTCTAAGATCCCTTCTGCCCTTTAGCTGTCTGCCTTTTCCTTTGCATTTTCTTCCGTAGCCTTGTGTGCCTTGCACCCCAGTATGATCCCAGCCTCCAGCCTGTCTCGGGCTCTGAGCTGAACGCAATCCTAACAGGCTGTATTTCAACTCATAGCAGCCTTGAATGTGAATCCAGTGACCAACAGATGTTTACAGCCTGTCAGAGGCTTTGTAATCCCTCCAGTTCTGAAATCTGCTTTTCAGAATTAGATGCTTTCAGCCCATTGTGGCAGATGACATTTAAAGTTTGATTTCACCTGGGACAGCTGAGGACATTGGGTTAAATTCATACTAGGCTGTGACTGACTGACAGTGACAGCTGCTGCCTGTCTGTGAAATCCATGACAGTGCAGATCACAGGCATCTGCCGTTTGACTTGTGCAGTACCCATTCAGCCCATCAGGTGTTGATCTTGGGGGTTTGGGTGGAGAGGAGACCACTGAGAGAAGAGAGGAGGCAGTGGAGGGAGGCTGTGGACAGAAAGACCTGACATCAATCAGGTGTGGCTAGGACTGGCTGGCTGTGCAGCCATGGCCACTTGGAACAGCCTTTGTGGCACTCAGGCCAGAATGTCAATGGGCCTGTTGCTGTCCCAGGCACAGCACAGATATGGTACAAGTTATGGCTTATGGCCCATAGGCCTCTCAGTTTCTCAAGATGCCTGGGGTAAATTGTATGTGTATATGCATGTGTGTGCATATGCATACATGCATGTATATACATGTGTATGTATGCATTTTATTTCTCTTCCTTTCGACAGGGCCCCTCTCTACCACTGTCTCCAGGGGACATAAATCTCTTGGTTAAGGTAAATGCATGAAATCGATCTGCATGTGTTTTGGAATGTAACAGAGGATTGCAGGTCTAAATAATCACCTGTGTTTTGTCTGAACAACTCTATAGTGACAATAATGACAACAGCAGCAACATGCCTTGAGAACTCATGATGTGACTGGTAATGTGATGAGTCTGCACTGTCCTGTTTGGCAGCCACTGGCCACTTGTGTAAACTTAAATGCAATTCAAAATTCAGGTCCCTGAGGAAACAGAATGCATGGCTGACTACCTCCATGAACAACTACGTCCTTTGCCATAAGGCCAGAAGAAGTAAATGGTGCCTGGCTACATTTCCAAACATGTTGATCAAAGATTCTGTAGAAGAATCCTGGTCAGAAGAGAGGAGTGCAGAACACAATTTCAAATTCTCATGGAATCCAGACTTTCTGGAATCACGGATACTGGGTGAACCCCTGAAACTGTGGCCCTGAACCTTAAACCAAAAATATCCCCTGAAGTCTTCTTTAGTCCAAACAATAGTTTAGCTTAATTAGAAAAGCAGGTCTGCCTTGAGCATTGTGCTTTTTTAAAGAGCTCTCTGTAGGGAATCAAATTGACAACAGCAACTTGAAAGATGAGACAGGAAGCTTGGAGGGTGGCAAGTTGATGTTAGAGGGAGGAACAGCTCAGTAATGTAAAGTGAGGATAGTGACGCGACTTGAATGTCAACAGTATCACTGAACTGTGTGTGGAGAAACTGTTGAATTGGTGTATGTTTTGCTGTGTATTTTCAACACCACCAACAAAAAATATAAAAAGTATTAAAAAACAAATTTAGGTCCTTGCTCACACTGGACACATTTCAGATACAGTCACACAAGGCTGGTGGCTACCTTTTTGGACAATGCAGATACAGAGCGTTTCAATCATTGCAGCAAGTTCTCCTGGGAGCGTTGTGCTAGATGCTTGGTGGGCATGGCTTATTTAATCTCCATGATGGTTCTGTGACATCGGCATTGCTGCTGTTCTTGTTTTGTATGTGTGGAAATCGAGGCCTCATGAGGATAAGTAACTTAGAAATAGCATCCAGCCTCGCTCATCCCAGAGACTGGACTTTGACCATAACCCAGGACAGAGTCCAAGAGTTTGGTGTGAGTCATGCTGGTGCCAGGGTCCAGAGCACAGGTTCAGGGAGTGTGTCAGGCTGGGTTCTCTAAGAAGCAAAACCAGTAAAACTTAGAGAGAGAGAGAGAGTAAACGAGAAATTGATCTTAGGAAAATGGCTCACACACTTAAGAAGCTGGCAAGTCCCCAGTTCTTGGATCAAACGTCAAGCTGGAGGCTTTTCCTGACTCCTGCAGCTGCAGGGGCTGATGAGCTCAAGGTTGGCAGGCAGTATACTGGCTGTTGCCTCCAACGAATGATGAATCCGAGATCTCCAGGCCGAGTGCTGGATTGTTAGCTCACAGACAGTTGTAGGCAGCACAACAGAATCCTGATCCACAGAAGAAGAAGAGTCTCTTTTCCCAGGATGTCCACAAATATACTGGAAGCAGGCCACACCTCCAGGGAAACTCCCCTTCAATGGATTGGCTGCTCAACACATATATATCTCATCCCATCATGGGAACAACCCACATCACGATTGCTGAAACCACACAGAATCGTGGTCCAGCCAAGTTGACACACAGCTCCAGCCATCGCAGGGAGCAAAGCCAGCTGCTGGGTCCCTGGGTTAGGAGGAGTGGGATTTGACTGCAGACTTCTCTGGTTCCCAGAGTCATGTTCTCTTTTTCTGTGAGTGGCAAAGACCTTGAGAAGTTAGGCATGCCTTGGTTGGCATTGGCCAGGTCAGGGCTGGATCATATCCAAAGGTTAGATTGTGGAGGTGGCCAGATGCCTGGCCAAGGACCTTACAACTTAGAGGATGCTGTGAGCAAGCAGGGGACTGGGGCGAGAGGTATGATACAGAAAAAACAAGAAAACCCATCTTACTACAGTGACTATGACAGACCCCCTTTTGCTGTTTCCCCTTTAAGCTTTGAGGAGCCCTGGTGACGTATTTAACTGCTGACTGAAAGGCTGGCTGTTCAAAAGCATCCAGAGGAGCCTCAGAAGAAAGGTCTGGTGATCTACCTCCAAAATAGCAGCCATTGGGAGCTCGATGGAGCACAGGTCTACTCGGACACACATGGGTCGCCATGAGTCGGAATCAAGTCGATAACACAACAACCCTTTAAGCCTGTGTCCGAGGGCTGGTGATGCTTGCCACTGGATTTTGTGTGAAAACCACTCCCTCTGCTCTTGTAGGAAAAACTCAGGTGATGTCAGAAGATCCTTAATTCACGCGTGAGACCCAGGGACAAAGAGAAGAAGAAATAAAAAAGAAAAAGAAAGAAAGAAAACCTTCTGGGAAATGCAGGACTTTTAATCTCACTGCACACTGTGATGCCATGATGGAGAATTACACATTTTATTAAAAAGGAGGAGCGGTGCAGTCGTTACTGAATTTTATTGACAAGAGAGAGAGTATTTTTCCATGTCAAGGACATGACAAGAAACCACTCTTTATTGATCAGTCCCTTGTTGATTGCAGCCTTTATTACCCTCCATCATTTTTCATAATCCCATTGCTCTGGAAGGAACTGGATTTACATCACCTCCCCTGTCAAAGGATTTCAACCTCAAAACACTCTGATTTCTCTGCCAACAATAACAGTGATGAGTGCTGACAAGGCTAGGAATTGTTCATCTTGGCTCTTGCGTTGAGACAGATACCTGGTCAAGTATTCCCTTTGTGCCAAAGGATGCAGTTCATCCGAATACCTGGGAACCATGGATGGGTGTGAACACTGTAACTGTATGGGGGGGGGGGGCTGGAGGCCCCTTGGTCCCACTGAGATGCCCCTTTCCTGTAAAGCCTGTTGACAGCAGCCAGGAGAGGTCACTTTTGCCAAGTGTGCAGCCAACTGTCTTTAGCTTGCCGTGTTGTGTGGTCAGCTGCTTCACCTAGGTATTGCAGGTTCAAGGCTGCTGGTCTGGCCCCAGTGCTGGCATCTGAGAAGGCATCTTTTTTTATCGGAAATTTACCTCTGCCCCAGAGAGTTCTACGGCATCCTATAGCTCACCCTTATAGTTGGAAAACTGCCTGGGTGGACAGTTAGTCTCCTAGGAGTTCCTGTCCAATGAGCTTCTGCCATTGGATCTTTGCCCAGGAAGACTCCCCCCAGGTCTCCAGGAGATGCCTCTGCATGAATATGGTCTCTTCAGATCCTTGCAAACAGCCCTGGGAGGGAGGGTTCTCTTGCACTCTGCACTTCACAGGCGAGGGTGTTGAGGCACAGATGGTTACATGGCTTGTTGGAGGTCACAGGTTGAAGGTCACAGAGCTGGGCAGTGGCAAAGCCAAGGCACGGCCATTGTGACCTACCCCAAAGCCCTTGTGCCTAACCTTCCTGCTAGCCAACCTCATCTTTGTGTGACACAGACATCCTGCCACCGTGTGATGGAGTGCAGGCAGGTAGTGGGTTCCCAGAGGTATTGCAAAATAGGCTACACTCCTCCTAGGTGGCAGTATTGTAGTGCAGACTCAGGTATGTGGCGAGGGGCATCCCTGAGTGAGGCGAATGAAAGGCTGAGCCCTTAACTATGAGCTGAAAGGTTGGAGGTTTTAGTCCACTGAGAGGCACCACAGAAGAAGGGCCTGGCAGTTTGCTTCTGAACGGTGATGCTCTGAACACCCTGTGAAGCAGTTCCACTCTGTACATACCTGGGGCACTATGAGTCAGAGTCAACTCGATAGCACCGAACAACCACCACCACAACACAGCAATAGCTGAGGTGGCATGGAGGCTATTTGCACTCCTGGGAAACAACAGTTGCCTTTCTTCCATGTTGCAAAGGCCGTGGCATTCTTTCCTGTGGTAGACATCTTTGAGCATCACCTTGTCCCACGCACCAAACTGAACATGGTACAATGAGGTGGGTTCACTGAGAATGTCTCAGACCAAAGGAAGGGGTTGAGACCTTAAGGCAGTCGCCAGTTATAGATTGTACACCAGGGATCCTGCAGTATGCAAGTGCTTTGCACACATGATTTCATTTGAATTTCATGGCAGTTTTCTAAATTAGTAGAGTGGTCCTTGTTTACAGATAAGGAAGTTCACCCAGATGGATTAAGTGACTTGCTTGGGATGACCCAGTCAATTGCAGAATTAGGAACTAGGATGATGAATGACATGTTGCACTTAGCAAATCTGCTACAAAAGACCTTGAAGTGTTAAAAGGCAAAGAGGTCACACTGAAGACTAAGGTGTGCCTGACTCAAGCCACAGTATTTTCAATCACCTCATGTGCATGCAAAAGCTACACAATGAAAGAAGAATTGGTGCATTTGAATTATGGTGCTGGTGAAGAATATTGACTATACATACCGTGGACTGCCAGAAGAATGAACACATATGTCTTGGAAAACATATGCTTCTTAGAGGTGAGGGCGGCGAGACTTCATCTCACTTACCGTCAGCATGTCATCAGGAGGGACCAATCCCTGGAGAAGGACATCATGCTGGTAAAGCAAAGGGTCAGTGGGAAAAAAAGGAAGACCCTCAAAAAGATGGACTGACAAAGTGGCTGCAGCAATGGGATCAACCACACCTACTATTGTGAAGGACCAAGACTGGGCAGAGTTTCATCTGCTATACACGGGGTCGCTAGGAGTCAGAGTCGACCCGACAGCACCCAGCAGTAATAGCATTGGTGAACAAGGATGTCTGATGAACAAGGATGTCTGATCTGCAAAGAAAGCAAAACAATGCAGCCCAGCAGGAAAGTAATACCCCAGACTACAACGGTGCGTGTGGAAGCTTGGATTCACCATGCTCCACCATGTGCCTGGCACTGCTTCATGCCTTTTGCATTCATGTTCTCATTTCTTTCTCACAAGCCACCATAGTACAACAAACCAGTGACCTGGCCATCAGTGTCTGTTTATTACTCAAATACAATGACTCTAAATTGTGGGTCCCATTGCAAAAAAAGATTCCCACTGCCGTGCCCTGTCCAAGTTAAGCAACATACCAGTGGCCAGAATTCCAGCTGTGTCTGGGCTAGCTCTGCTCTCCTGCCATCCAGTGATGTGTTTCACAGTTGAATCACATTTTAAAAAACTAGAAGAGAAAGTCTAAGTGTAGGTGAGTTCCTTCCAGCTCTGTTACTCTGCAACTCTGTAAACAGCAACTCCAAAAAGCCAAGCTCCCTGCCATCAGGTTGAGTCTGACTCATAGCATTCCCCACTGGCTCTCCAAGGCTATAAGTCTTTATGGAAGCAGACCACCTCATCTTTTTTCCATGGACCAGCTGGTGGGTTTGAACCACTGACCTTTTGGTTAGCAGCCAAATGTCTTAAGCATTGCACCACCAGAACTAAACAAAACAATAGCAAGCAAAAATTTCCTTCTGCTTCTTCCATTCACTTTTGTTTCACATACCCTAATATTTAGGACTTCCCAACACCTCCCCCAAAAAATGCAACCAACTTCTCAAACCATTCATAAAAGAAGATGGCCCAAGACAGCAGAAGGTCAGGTGGCTGGTCAGTTGGTTGGTCGGGTGGTTGGCAGCCTGTCTGCACCAAATGGGACATATAAAAGTAAACCAGCCCCATCTCTGAGAGCTCACACCTTGTGTCTAGTAGGGATGGAGATCGAGTTATAAACAGACCCGTCAACACCAAGACAAGTGCTTCAATAGTGGGGACCCCGGGGTCCATGGGAACACAGAACCGATATCCAGTGTGAAGCAATCAGAAAGACTTCTTGGTATAGGAGACTTCTGAAGAATCTTCATGACTGAGTAAGAGTGAGACAGGTAAAAGGAAGGTTGTCTAGTGACAGAAAAACTCTTCCCTCATGAAGTCAGAGGTGAGGAGTAATGGCACACCACCCAGAACTTCACCTTGTTGCCGCATGAACCAGTGTAGGTTCCATCTGCCTTTGTGGACCCCTCTGTGAAGCACTTGAAACGTAGTAGTTAATGTACTTATTTCGGGTCAGTTCCTGCCACTTGACCATGAGCTCTTCAAGACTGTACACCACCTGTGGTCTTTAAGCACAGTGCCCAAGAATAGACTCTTACAAGTATGTTTTCAGTGAGCAAGTGGTTGATTGCATGAATCAGTAGTAACAGCTGAGTGTATTGGGTGTCATTATCTATCTTAACGCTATTCTAAGTGTCTTATTTGTCTTATCCCATTTAACCCTTATCACAGAGATAGAGGAGGGGAGGAGGGAGGGAGGATTGGAGCAAAGCGCTTGGGGGAAGTAGTCCAATGAGCCGGGATGTGAAGTTGGGTAGAGTTGGTGCCACCATCTGTTTGTCTACTGTGGTGGCTTACATGTTGCTATCATGCTGGAAGCTGTGCGGACAGTACTTTAAATACCAGTAGGATCATTCATAGAGGACAGGTGTCAGCAGAGCTTCTGGACAAAGACTAGGAAGAAAGGACTGGCAACCTACTTCTGAAAGTCAGCCAGTTATGAAAGCCCTCCGGATCACAACAGATATTGTCCAGCAGAATGCTGGAAGATAAGCCCCCAGGTTGGGAGGCACTCAAACTACACAGTGGCCACAGAAATGGGCTTAAGTATCCTTGTGATTGTAGAGATGGCACAGGACTAGGCAACGTGTCATTCAGTTGTACAGGGGGTTGCTGTGAGTCGGAGCCCACTCATTGGCAACTCACAAGCACACGGTGTCGTCAAGTCAGTGAGTTGTACTTGGTGCACACTGTGCTCTAAACTTTGAGATCCAGAGAGTACACAAATTAGAAAACTTGTTCCCTGGACTGAGAGAACTTTCAGTTCATTCCAAGGACAGCACTCACCGGCCCCAAAGAAGTGGCAGTCCCAGGAGGTGCTTATGGAATGCCTGCTGGGACAAAGAACAGTGGCAGCATGACCTGAAGCTTGCATTGTGTGTCCCAGCAAGTGTCCTGGGGCATGTGCCTGCCTTTATTCTGCTTCTCTGTTCAGAGCTCCCTTTACTTAGGCAACCCTGGGACAGCTTTGTTTTGTCACTAGCCCTAGGGACGCAGCGTGCTATTTTTGGCAGTACTAAATGCTTGCATGAAATCTGCACTGTGAGTATTTTTAAATGCTCACAAACATTGGTCCACGGATTTTTGACATCATTTTCTTGGGCCATGCCCCCAGCAGTCTGAGTGCCCCAAGTGCCCAAAGTGGGGTGAGAGGAGGTAATAGTATAGATACTTTAGGGCTGGGGTGTAACTTTCAATGAAGATAATAAAAATGCAAGATGTGACTCTAAACTGTCTGGGTTACGACTTGATGCACCTGTGTGCTTTGACATCATTGAGTGGCACCATCCTGTCCAGAGACGGAGACAGGAGCTATGGGCTTCCTTTGCTTTACAAGCCAAGGCATTATTTATGCATATTCTCTGTCTCTCAGGATGTGTGCAGTGATTGCCCTCCTGGTCCCCCAGGCCTCCCTGGTCTGCCAGGTTTTAAAGGGGACAAAGGACTCCCAGGAAAACAAGGGAGAGAAGGCACCGAAGGGAAAAAGGTAAGGAGAAAAGGAACACTTGGTGTCTATCATTGCAATGAAATGGGGTACCATGCTGGAGATGCCAAAGCTGCCCCTCCTCCCTTCCAAGGCGCTCAGGCTGTGAGGATTTAAGACAGCCAAGGAGCACCAAGTGGAGGAGACACAGCCATGGAAATGGTGAGAAATGGCGTTGATGGCTCTTTATCATTATAAGAGAATGTTGACTGTGACATTGCAGTGCATTCGGATGTCTAAACACGTAGTCACTCTTCCTTCCTCCCTTCTTTCTCCTCCCACCATTACTCCTTCCTTCCCCTTTTCTTTCTTCCTTCTATCCAAGAACTTTTGAGCATCTACTATGCAACAGACACAAAGAGAGGCAGCTACACTTTGTAGAATCATCCACCACCTATCATCCATCCATCTGTCCATCTGTCTATCCACCCACCCATCCACCCATCCATCCATCCATCCATCCATTCACCCACCCATCCATCTACCCATTCACCGACCATCCACCCACCTATCCATCCATCTACCCATCCACCCATCCATCCATCCATCCATCCATCCACCCATCTACCCATCCACCCACCCATCTACCCACTCAACCACCCAACCATCCACCCATCTACTCATCCACCCAACCACCCACCCATCCACCCACTCATTCATCCATCTACCCATCCATCCCTCCATCCATCCATTCATCCACCCACCTGTTAATTCTTATCAGTTACCTGTTTAAGAGCACATTTGTTTTATATTATGCATCAGACATGATGGCTCTATGCTTATGGAGTTCAAGGTCATGTGGTGGAGTTGGGGGGTGGGTAAGAGACATACAAACACAACATTTGAGATGTGACTTTTATTCTGATCTTCAAGTAGCATCCCCTTCATTTTCCACAGACCCAGATACATAAGTGATTTTAGCATCGGCCCCACAGTGGCCACAATCCATGCTCTTCCTCCGTCACACTCCAGGTCCTTGCAGGAGGACACGGGGCAGTTCCAAAACTGATTTGACCAAGGCTTCTTTCATTTAAGCCAATTCTCCTGATAATCAAGTCATCAAAATAAGTATTTATTTGATTTGTAGCATTTCTTGCATCACAAGATATGGGGCAGTAAACAAGCTTGCTTGAATCTTTTTATATTGGTGTCAGCTCCCCCTGCCCACTTCAGCCTGCTTTTGAACAGGCTTAGTTGATTAAGATGAGTACATCTTTGGGCTTGATTCTAGGAGACTTAATCCAAAAGATTCTAAGTATTGTAAGAATATTTTGATACTGTCTCGTTGAGTGGTTCTCAGGGAGGCATCTTTAAGTCCCTTAGGGAGATTTTTAGATAAACCATTTCTAGGACCCTCCACCCAGGCCCTTTACATCAAATCACTGGGGAGAATCCTCAGATATGTGTGTTTTTAAAAAGAACTCAAACAATTACGGTGTTCAGAGCCACTCACTAAGTCAACTTCTGAGTCAGCTTTCCACCCAGTGCTCCACTCCTCACAGCAGGACATGACAGTGGCCAGGGCCCCCATTCTCCCACCTGTAGCAGGCCATCCTCGGGGTCAGGCAGCTCCTCCGCTCTGTGCTGACACTCAGGAAGTTAGACTCAATGAAAGTTATGGTAAGGCACAGACAGAATGTGTACGTGTGTGCATATATACGCATGTGTGTAAATACTCAGGTTTGTAGAGTATACATACAGCTAAGAAGAGAGGGAAGGCCTGTTGCAATAAGAAAATGAGTGAATGATCAAGGCAAATATATATTTCACTTTACCTGTCACTGTGTTGTAAACTGCCCCCAAACTTAGTGGCTTAAAACAACAAACTTTCATTACCTCACCATTTCTGAGGGGCAGGGACTGAGCAGTAGTTGAGCTGGGTGGTTCTGGCTCAGTCTCTCAGGAGGTTGCCCATAAACTGCTGGCAAGGATTGTGGTCAGCTCA